TGTGTGTGTGTGTGTGTGTGTGTGTGTGTGTGTGGACATGAATGTGCATCCATGAGTGTGCATCTCATATGCAGATAGAGGCGGCGTGGGTCTGCACTTCAGAGGGATGTGAGGCACAGTCACTGGGCTTGAAATCAAGCAGAGAGAAGATTGTTTATAGACTGCCAGAAGTAATTAATCTCCCCTCTCTATGAAAATTAATTGGATTAAATGTTCTTTTGGCCCAGTGAATCTGTCTCCGTGTAAAGTGTGGACACCGAATCTCTGGCTGCTCCACTGTCCCACTTCGCACCCATTATGCCAATCCTATAGGCTGGATTCACTGGCTCCACCACAACAATGGGCAGCACAGTGACTCTGTGTAATCACATTCTCCTGCTTGTCTGAATGCTTGTCTTTCACGGTAGGGTAAGAGCGCTGGCCACTTCACCACTATCACATTCTGACTTCTGTTAGAGATGCTGAGGCGCAGAGAGAGATTTGTTGACATGCATGTCAGCTGTGTGTCTCTGGCCTCGGGTCAAACACATGTTCACACGATGAGTTGACCTTTCCAGCAGAATGTGGATAAGTATTCCGTACCTCGCTCTAATCTCCACATGCAAGTGGGTTATTTGAAAAAGCCTGATTCACAGGTTAGATCCTGACTGCTTCACCTCTTGAAGTCTAATTTATTTCATCTGCTAACAAACATCTATTAACAACAGTGCATAGCAGTGCTCCTGCAGAAATACAAATTTATGTTAGATAGTAAGGCCCAAACATTATTCCTAATATATTAGTCACGTCTGAGGCTGACTTAGTCACGCTCAACATTTAAAATTACTAAATGTTTGGACCCCTGCAGCGGCCCTCAGAGGCTGTAATGTTCGTCATGCCACACTGCAATGAAACAGAGACCAGTATAGCGATTAGTTTCTTTCTCTTGGAGCTTTGCCAGGTTTACATTCAACATGTTTCAAAACAAATGTATTTCCTTTCTGTTTGAGTGTGAAAACATTCTATCCATGTCACTCTGTATACTGAGACCAGGGCTGGACTCCGTAAACTGGAAGCAGGGGAAACAGCTGGCCTGGCTCTGGTCAAAAGCAAAAAATGCCAGCCACTAATATTTCCTTCCAAATATATCCTTACACATTGAAATTAGTACAGCTGATTACAGATATTAGTTTTTCACTGGAAATTGTTGGTATATAGCTGGTTGCCTGATTATTCAAAGTTTGTTAATTTGAAACATATTGTGTGTCCAAATGGGGCAAATTCCTACACTGCACCTCCTTGGGATCTCAACAATACACACTTCAACTGTGAAGCTGATAAGATGAATGATTCTTTAGATATCTGTTACACAGACAGAGATAGATAAGCACATTACCAAATAATGGCTATTCGTTATCCATCTTACCCTGCACATGCCGTGTTTCTCCTGATTACTTACTTGTTGGTATGATCAATCAACCTACGTGAAGGTCAACAAAAATATGGTCTGGAAAATACCTTTTCCAAGAATCTTCATGAATAATAGAGACAATCTAAAGCTTTTATTTATCGGGAAATTAGGTTATTGACAGAGACAAGATGTATTTTTCAAGGTATCTCTGCATATAGGACTAAAGACACAAACATATGCTTAACTAATGATCAGGGATGGAGGATGTTATCATTATATCAACATGAAGACAAAAACGCCTTAAAGTGTAGAAATTAATGAAGTTTTTTCGCAGACGCAATATACAGTTTATAAAGATGAACTAATCATTACTATGGTATAAATGATGTCAAGATGAAATGGCAATATTGCAATAGAAAAAAAGTCACCACTGCCCAGTAAATCCAGCATGCACACAGGCTATACTATATCCCCATGATGCTGTTTATTCCAACATGTAGTGTTTGTCCTGAGGAAATACACCATGTACACACCACCTAGCCACTGTGTTCTGAGGCTATGATAGGGTTCATCCCCAGAATGTTGCTATGATTTCAGAACACAGCAACATTACAGATAATAGAGGCAATGATCACACAGATTGTCAACAAACTTACAACTTGGCCGCATAAGCATCAGTTTGATTGGGAGCTAAAACCAAAAGTGAACAACAAGACAACTTCCTGTTGAACCGGAATACACACAGTACCTAGATCAAAATTGAACAGGTAGTTATGTAAACTCTAATCAATGTTTACTGCCTGACTTTGTTTTCTCTTACAAATGAGTGACTTTGAAAGAAAGTCACAGTGGAGTCCAATGTCATTATGAACAAGACAACTAATGGCCTGAGCTACAAAAATAAAGTCCTAATTATAATGGGCAAGAGTTTTCCTTTTATCATCAATTAGAGAAGCTGTCATGCTGACACTAGCGTATTTATTATAGTGATTATACAAAATAAATGATTTCTGTGTCTGTGGTCTTCCCAGGTGAGAACATTATTAGTGCAGAGCAGTTGCAGAGTACTAATTTTCCTACAGATGATGCAGAAGTTTTTGTTGTTAGAAAGCAGTGCCCATTATGTCTTAAATTCAAGTAAAAGCAGCGAACCACTACCATATCCCCTGGTTACCATAGACCGTTTCGCAGAAGACGTATTGATTTATTATAACAGGATAAGCCCAACAGAAACTACTAACATTAACAAGGACTCTGTTAATATCCTGTTCTCCCAAATCCCAAATGTGTTCTACTGGTTTCACTTCTAAGGACTGGGGAGCCCACTGACGTTCAATAAACTCACTGTCATGTTCTTGAAACCAGTTGGAGATAAGTAATAATACTGTTGATCCATTATGGGAATGAATAACAGAAGGGCTGTTCTAAAACCTCCATCCCCAGCCCTCATGTACTAATGCCATCCCCGGAGGGCGTATGGCTACATTATACAAATCATGATTATTTTCTTCACCTACTGTCAATAGTGAAAGTGCGTAGAACAAAGTCATAATGAATTAATTGTGGTTATTTGTTTCCCCCAGGCACCTGCAACTGAAACGTCATCAACCATGTCATACGGGTCTATTGACGGAGGCTCCTTTGGCAGTCACAACCCATTTGGAGGACCCACTAGACAGGGCTATCAGCTAGTAGGTAATGATCAGTGTTTATTTCTTCAAGGTTTCAGTAAAACGTCATTCATGCTGCCCTTAGGTGTATCGTTTTACAACAGTTGAAATATTGTATGTCAGATGATTGAGTTTACCATGAAAATTGAGTAAATTGAGCTACCACCTCAGTGATGACCTCTGTATTGCAATACTCTGATGACGTCTACACCTCATACCTGTATGAGAATACTTGTAAATTTAGACCAAACACAAAGTGAATTTTACACTACAGCTCCTGGACTGTTAATGGAGTATAATGCAATCAGGACATTTTATCATCCAAAAGAAGTACTCCATACAGACAGGAAGATTAACTCACCAGTGTTGATGTCACCTTCCTTAGCAACATTTTTTTTTGCCATCAACCGTGACCCTAAGAAGCACTTTTGCTGTTTTGTACCTGCTGTGGAAGCTCAAGTAACACTGCAAGCACCATCGTGTCAGTGTTCATCATTTGAAGGTGCAGACAGGACAGTGGATTTCACTGCCTTCAGCAGGATCCACTTCTGGATGATTGTAACTCTCAGTGATACTTGCGGGCGACTAGGGCCCACCTGTTAGGATCAGTGCCTTAATAGTAAGCATGTTGTTCTTCAAGCCTGTGGTAACTCAGAATTCTAGTTCTACAAGTACTACAGAATCTTCTCTGTAGTTCTCTGGGAAGATGCAGATGCACAATGATGTTTTCGATTGATTGATGTCAGGAGCTGCAAGTGATGTGGGATCCTGGCCAACTCAACTTTTGGTCAAGGCTTTCATATTTGGCACTGCCCGTTGACCCTCCACTAACAGTAGCCAACCAAAGAACCCGGGCAACCAAGGACCCAAAACCTTTTGCAGTCATTCTCCAGACTCAACCTGTCAGGAGAGTACTGGATATTTAACTGTCCTGAGCTTGGCTGATTATTAAGAAGCCTTTAGGATCTTTAGGGCACATAATTGAGCCCATCATGGAGAAGGAGGACCCAGAGGGAGCATGCCAAATGCTTAGGTGGAGCCACTGCCGGGTCTGGGAAGACTTGCTGCAAACAACTCTTCAGGGGAGGCCATCAGGGTTAACCCTAACTGTCCCATGGCAATGGATAGTGCTTTGCATGGGAAAAGATGCAAGAGCAAAATGTTATTTGATTATCCAACAGCACATTACTGTTGAGCAAGCTGCCAACATGAATTATCATTTCATATTTGTATCCAAATCTTCTGGTGTCAGCTCATGTGACAAACCATATTTCAACTTTCACAGTCCCATAAATGCCCCAAATCCCAAAATCTGTTTGCCTCACCTGCTGCATTTGCATCTTTGCTCTGACCACACTTTAAGATTGACCTGGAATTTTCTGCTCTCATGTGCACATAGAGAGGGCCTGTAGTAGAGAGGCAGTATGGTCAAGTGTTGCCAAACAGACAAATATTGTCGCCAGACAGGCTGACATGGATATTTCTGAAAGTTCTGAGGCTTCAGTGGGCACAGGCTCATCAAAACAAACAAGAAAAAAACACATTCAGAAAGACAAATAATTGAATGAGTTGAACAATAGAGGGAGTAAATAAAATAATGAATAAAAAGGTTAATTAATACAGGAGCAAATATAAAATGAATATCAATCATGGTCATATTTTATAAGTTAATTATTTTTTATGCATTTACTGTTATTATTTGATGTCATTTTAATAGTATTTTTTTGTCAGTTCTGCATACACTGGAACCTTAAACCATAAACAATGTATGTGTTGCTCTTTCATAGCTAAGAACATTTTCTGCCTGCTTTGGTAAATACCTTAATCTTTCAAATTGTGTAGGCTATTCCAGAAGCGTTGGTCGGAGTGAACACTGATGACAAAATTAGTGCGCGCTTGTGTGCGCGTGTGTATACGGTGCATCTGTTTAGAGGAGGAAATGGAATGGTCTCAAGGACTCAAACAGTTTCTGAATAGGAGCAAGACGGAGACAGAGAACAGCGGGTCAGCTACAAAGAACCGATGAATATTCACAGGTTGTGTTTACTAATGCAAGTTATCGTGAGTTCCCAGAAATGATCCTGTGGCCAAACCCCATTAGCACAAAGTGAACATTTGCTTATTGTTTGGAACGCACCATAATAGGGAGAAGAGCAGAGCCAGGACAGGAAAAAAACACAAAATCATACCATCAATCAGGAAATAGACCAGAGACAAGGCAAAATTCACAATGCTAAAACAGCTGAACATTATTGGGAAACTATCAAGTTCAATAATATTGTGATTGAATTGTTGACAGGACCCAAAAAGCAGATATCTGACAATCTGGTAGACTGATGACAACACAGGCGAGTAAACTGAAAATCAGATCTCAACATATATATGGATTGCTGACATGAGCCGATTGCTAATATCAACTTCATGCCAACATTGTGACAAGTTTGCATGGATTTTATACTTTGCTACTTACAGTATAACCGAGTAATCAACATCAGGTTTTCCAGTCATCACAACACATTTATTATTCATAAAGAAATGAATAATTCATGTAATCAACACATGTACATGTGTAAAATTACACTTAAAATTACATGTAAAATAAAAGTGCACAAATAATTGCTGCACAAAACACAGTTTCCCTATGTTCATGTGACAGTTTTCTAATGTTTGTTCATAAATAGGCCTACATTTTGTCGATATTTACCTTTGTATCAACATGGTGTGTTTGTGTGTCTGTGTGTGTACTTGCATACCTTTGTGAAGACCATTTAAGCCTAGAACTTAAAGAATATGGGGCTAGGGAATGCATTATGCCAATGAGTACAAGTTATTCAGTCACAAGTTTCCATAAGAGTTATAAGCAGTGTGAAAAGCAGCTTCATTGGATTTGATCCTCTTGCTGCTTTCATTAGTCTTGTAATGGGTTAGGAGCAAGACGAAACCCCCGAGGCAAAATATGTTCCCAGCCAAAAGTGCTGTGTGTGTTTGAGTGTGTCTGAGAGAGATGAAGATGGACAGATGAAGAGACGAATATCGGATACAGTTAGAGATGATTAGATGGGGAAGATGAATATTCCCTCCTATCTTCACTCAGGAACGTGTTTTTCATTTTAAGAATATTATTTATTCATTTCATGTTCAGATTTGGAAAACAGTTTCCCTCAAAACCCTTTCTCTCAAAATAGTCAGTTTGAGTCTGTCATGTCACACTCAGGCTGCTTCTGTGCACTCACCAATCTTGTGCTCTCAGATTTCTGCTCTCTTCTTTTTTGCAGGAATTTTTGTGAAATAACCGTCACAATCCCTGACTAATGCAATGGAAGGTATGATGGTGATCATAGACACGACATCCACATGGACAAATGTATCTAATTGCTCTCACAATCCAGAATGAAGCTAAAATATCCGGGATATGAATGCTGCCATCTTGTGCCGAACACGTCATTTGACCCAGAGTCAGTCTCGGCTGTCAATGATGATCTTTCAACTCGTCTATAATGATGATTGCAAATAATTAATTAAAACCAAAATTACCGCTAACTTGGACATACATCAGTGTGATAAGAATTACCTAACTTACAGGAACCATCTTTAAGAGAAAATTGTTTCACATATATTTTTACTTTTTGATTTGGCCCATGTCCCATTAATTTTGACTTGACTGGGAGATGTCATGTCTATCTTTATCAGTCACCATCATATACTGTATCTATGATGCTGACCATTGAAATGGTTACATTCCTGGGGTTATATTAACTTAGTTCAGAACGTCAAGAAACTCAAGTTATTTTATTCTTTATTATTTAACTATTCATTTCTTCAATTTGAAACATTGAAATATTGACTCATATTAGATGTTGTACAGGGGGAGCTGATCTTGGAATTATAACCTACAGCATTTAAATAGTTTTCAAAACAGCAGCTCTCAATCGTAGTTGGAAGATCTCTGGTTTTAGTCTCATGACTGATTAGGTTGACCAGTTATCACAGCCTCCAGTCAACACATACTAAAAGATTGACAAATAACTGATATACTCTGAGCTTCTGGACATTTAGGGCTCACTACATTCATGGTTATGACTGTGTATGGGCACCTACAACACAGGTACTCATACTCTGTATCTAGCAGAGACTGGGCTAATAATGGCTGCTTTGCTCTGACCAGCACTGAAAGTATCCAAACTATTGGTCGTGGTCAGCTAGTTCATTCTGTGTCTCTACGTACAGTGTGTGTCAGACAGACATGTCCTAACCTACCAACCTCCAACCCATCTTTAGGTATGTGTTGTGGAGCACACATCTGTATTTATCTTAACTTTGATTCTTAATTATTCTAGTTTCTCTAATATTTGCATGGTAAATCTAAATTCTACTACTACAACCCACAATTCTCAGTATTCTTCTTGACCAAAATAAACTTTCATAAAAGTCTTATCCTCATCTTACTCTAAAAGTATAGCAGATAATGCAGAACAGATCTCTGTTCTGAAGCTGTACAACTGTAAGTCATATAATGTTATCCATGGGAAATCATTACTTTGCTTCTGGAACCAGGACCTCCCAAGAAAGATGTGGATGTCAGTTGTCGCTCCACCACTTTTGTCCGAGAAAAATATCCAATGTTATTTCATGGGAAGAATCACTGTAATCCTGTAAACTTATCATGCAGCACTCTCATCATTTCCCCAATACCTTGGTTTAAGATCAATTACTCAAAGTTGAGCAGTATCGTCTGTACTCCATGTTTAATTGAAAATGTTTATATGCTAGTCTGCTAAACTAAGACGATCAACATTTGACCTGTTTGTTGTCAGTGTGACATTGTGTCATTTGAGTTTGATTGTTGTTCAAGCTAGAACAGCATTGCTTTCCCTTGTGTAGGTGTGGAATGCTATTTCAAGTTATTCAGACAGGCTGTGTAATGAGAGTGCCTTCAATGTAAAACTTGATTAACATGTTGATTTTTTTGTTTGTCAGTGAAGTAATTGCTGAGAGTGTATGCAGCAGCGTGGTTTCGGCAATCAC